CCATTTTGCCGTTGACGTTCCCGACGCTTTTGCAGGAGTTCCGCCTTTCGAGCTGCGTCGCGAGCAGCCAGCCTCTCAAATAACTGAGCACGGCCATCTGATTCGGCCGCCCGGGCTCCAGTTTGGCAGTCCATTCTAAGCAGAGACGAAATGGGAGAGAAATGTACTATATTTTAGGAGGGAGACTGAGGGAGTTCATTTAACGTGTCAGGGAAATATGCAGTAGGAATCAGAATTCGTGCGACATGCCGGCATATGCGAAAGATTGATATTCACTCACTAATCGGCATTGAGTATGGTCGTAACACTAATTATCGTCGCACGCGGAAAAGAGTGGCATATAACGAAGTTCACAAGAATGTTAATCACAACCAGCAAGCCGTGAGCCAGTTGTAGCTACTAGTGTCTAGACGCTTTATTGTCCATAAGATGGCGTCTGATTCATACCCGTTTGCGGCCAATCAGTGAAGGTCAGATTATCGACAGACATCGTTCCGTCATGCGTGGCGGTAGACATCGAGACGTTTGGGCTGAGCCGAAGGCGATTTACAGTAGGGTACGAATACTGATTGTTGTCAAAATAGTTCAGTCACATCAGTATGCCGGTTTTAGACTGAGCTACTGTCAGACCGCTTGTTATGGTGAGACTAAGGGGGTTCGTTTAGCGTGTCAGGGAAAGATACAGTATGACTCAGAATCCGTGCGACATACCGACATTTGCGAAAGATTGATACTCACTCGCTAATCGTCATTGAGAATGGCTGTAATATTGATTATCGTGTAGTCTATTCTTCAGTCATTTCAGGCACGGTAGGATGCCGGCTTTTTAACGAGCCTCATTCCGACCGCTAGCAAAACTATGTACCGTAAAAAATGGCTACTTAAGTAGTATGCATGTTTATCATTGATTTTCACTGCCTTTTATAAATTCGAATATATATAAGGGAAACCATTTTCGAAAAAGTTTTCTTGTACTCGCTTGGTAGCAAATTACGCCTTCGTTAAATTTTATACTTGAGGAAAAGGTATCTTTCGGTTTTAAAAAAATCTGTAATTGTGAGGTGTTCATTCATAACACACTGTATCCGTCAAGTTATTAATGCTGCCTATAATGTATACAGCACGACCCACATCTTCCGCAACATTTTATGAGAACTATGTGACTCTTTCCTCGAACTGTAGGGGAAAACGTACTTTCAGGTGAAGCAGCCAGTAAGTTTCAAAATTATTCGGCAATTTAGAAACTTTTAATAAGTATAAAATTTAAAGAAAGCGTATTTTTCTACCAAACGAGTACAAGAAATATTTTTTTCATTTATGTTTTCTGTTAAATACATTTGAATTTAAAAAGGCACTCAAAATCAATGATAAAAACGAATACTCACTAAGTAGCCACTTCTTACAGTACATAGATTTTGTTAGTGGTCAGAAAGAAGCTCGTTAAAAGGCCGGCATCTTGAAATGACTTCAGAATACACTACATGATAATCAGTATTACAACCTTACTCAATACCGATTAGCGAAGGAGAAGCAATCTTTCGCATATTTCGGTATGTCGCACGGATTCTGAGCCGTACTGTAAATGCCCAAAGCCAGCAGATGGCATTGAGTGTCACGCAGTCAAAAGTGCCCCTCAGATGAGAGCAGGACACCGTCCAGAGTGGTGAAAAACGATACCACAATATCAGGACGTTAGATGTCTGAAAAGTGTAAAAACAGCTAGAGGGGAGGGAACAGAAACTCTACTAAGAAGCAATAATTACTTTTACATCGCCGAAATATTGCACGGGGCAGACTAAATGCGATTACTTGGCCAAGAGGAAAAAACTTAATCAACATTTCTTATGCTGATCTAACCTAAATTTGAGGCTAATAGGAAACTCCCAGTAGCTTACACGGTTGTGGTCCCTCTCATTAATTTCGGCCACTTTGACTACCGTCAACACGACCTCCCGTAGATAAAGGCACGACAGAACGCTTAGTTATGACACAGCGTTTTCGTCAAAAAATTGGCCGAGGGCCAGATAACAACTACTAGAAGTCGCAACTAATGACTTCATTCCGTGACACCGTTAACACAAGTACTGGGCTCGCCTGTCGGTGCTACTACGATTGAATCGGCACAAGTTCACTACGATCCTATTTAAACAGACGATGCTTTATCTAACATAAACGATAAGCATACTAAGTATACGGAACCAGAAACCAGGGCCCAGTTCCTCTACAAACATGCAAGCTACCACGTCAAGGTCACACGCCGTTACTCCAGGGACGCGCGTCGGAGACACGATAAGATACCGTGAGAATGGACGTGGCATGGACAGGGACCAATCAATAATTGCCACACCCCCTACCAACCCCATTTATGCGTAGCTGACGCATGCTGTTCTCATTTACTCTGACGATGGCTTCTCGTGTGGGGCCGTAAGCTCAGAATAAAACTATCGTTCCAGAGACTGCGTCTTCCTTTTCTTTAGAAACGGAACTATCTGTCCGATAAGTATACTAACAGCCAGGTCCGCAAGGTAGCGTATTACCCCAAAAAATGCAAGTAACACGGAGTAAGCCTTAAAGCCTCTGAAAGCAACACTTGCCAACGTAACTGCCTACTCAACCAGAAGTTTACTGTACAAATACTTTGCTCGCAACATAAGCAGCCATTTTACAGTAGAGAACTGGTGTGGGAATGATAAATCAGAAAGAGACATCATGAATTCTAACTGTCCAGATGTTTGAAATTACACTATCCGACAGCTCAGGCGCGGGATTTTATTTACTCAAAGGTTACATCAGAGTCGCCGGAAGGGGTCACATCAGCCGCAAATTATCCAACCAGTTGTTAACTTCCCGGGCAACGTCATTTAGGGTAGCGGCCGAACAGTTGTATCCCACCTGTAGGTGGGGTGCAGCATACAAGCAAAAACGGCAACCGAACAGACCACACAGAAACTAATAACTGCAGAATAAAAAATGAGAGATAAAAACTTTATTCATATGAAACAGCTCTTTTTTTCCGAAGGGAACATTGGGAGCCAGAGGAGTGGCG